AATCCTTCACCGCAAAAGTCTGAATCAGCCGTCAAAGATAAGTCAGACGTAGTGATCCTGAAAACATTTGCAGGACTACTTTTGCTCCCCACCAAAGAAAATTGTGAAAATATTTTGCTCATTATTTCAGTTGTCGCCCTTTTGGTTTGTGGGTTTTGTAAGAATGTAGTTAGGCTATAAATGCCTCGGGTCAGACAGGTAGGTAGGCAAGCAGGCGTAGGACCAGCACGGACGCGGTTCTTTTTTTGCCGGCTGGTAAACCAAACAGAATTCATGCACTTTTGACGGCACAATGTTTGCCAACAGTGCACGGAAAAAAAGAAAGAAAAAAAAAAGTGACTTTTGTGATTAACGATCACTCCACGAATTAAAAAGTCGAAAGAGTCTGAGAGAAAGTAACTGATAAATAGAGGAAACACTCAATTATCCACTAAATATGGTCATTTCAGAGCACCGGACCAGATCAGTGCATCAAGCATGAGTGACAACCAACACTGTGTCCTTTATAAAAAAAAAAAACAACAACAAAAAAACAACAACAACATAATACTGACTTTGAAGTCTGTGAATACAAACACCTCACACACTAGGGGTTGGTTTTGTTAGTGAAACATCCCTTGACTGCAAACAACTCCTGGGCGTGGAGTTCCAGCAAACACACCTGTGGCATCATGTGAATGACAACCCGAAATATTAGTTAGCAGGTTTAAATTCCTCAATGACTAATGCTGTAAGAAGTCTGCTTTAAAGTGAAACAGAAAAGGACAGAAAATATGAAAACGTAAGAGGTGAAGCATCACACTAAACATTCTCCTGATGCTTCCTGCTTCTGTCCAGCTGATCTATAAGTGATAACATCCATCTGACAGCAGCTGGGAAAACCTCACAGGGCAACCTGCCAGACAGCAAGCTGCCAACATCCACCACCTCTCTCCTCCTCCTCCTTCTTTCCAGGGCAACTTGTCAGACCTGATCAGCCCAGCTCATCAGGGATGTCAGATTTAAGCATCACACCTTGTGTCCTAGCTTATTCCCTGATTTCTCACCTACTGAAAGCTGGCCTGCGAGTGTGTGATGAGTGGAGATGCCGAAATGAGATGAGATCACACCTGCAGAATTTCAAAGCATCTGAATGGCTGCACTCACACACAGGCAGAAATGTATCCACATCACCCCCTCCCCTCTCCTGCACGGAGGTGCACATGAATGGCTTCAGGCTGAGCATTTTAAAGGGTTTTAAGTGTGGCTGCTACATCAACAGCATCATAAATCAGTTGTTTGTAACGCTGTCACGGCGGGTTGTCTCCTGTCACAGCCTATCAGAGGTTAATCTGCCTTGATACCGCGTCCCACATCTGAGGCCGGAGTCTGATCAGCTGGCTGGCAGTGATTGATCCCCGCACGGAGCACAGAAATCGATTTTCACGGTGCCTGCTCGGTGGTTTGAGGGGTGATGACGAGCAGCAAGCTAACGAGCTACCCGGCTAACCCACCACGGTGGGATGCACAGCTCACACACATCGTTATACAGAGGCAAACAAATAGCGGCATGAATCGGGTGGGGAAATGCCACATTATGAGTTTGTTATCTAATTTTAAAAAGACAAACAAACAAAAAACGCATCGGCAGCAGGTTGTTGCTGCGCTAGCCGAGGCTAGCTGACAGCACGGCTGCACCGCATCGGCAGCGCTAGCATCAGTTAGCCTAGCACCACTTCGCTCCATTGAGAAAAAAAAGAAACAAACTACACCTTCTTCCCCTCCACGGTTGTGTCAGCCTACCTGGACATAGTTGCTCTCGCAGTACTCCGCGACTCTTTCCAAATTAGTGAAGCTGTCCAGCAGCGCGCTTCGTCCCGCTGGAATCTCCTCTTCCAGAAGCATTTGTAGCTCCGCCATTTTCACATCTTTAGCGGAGAGGTGCGCTCTCTGGCGCCCCCGTGGCCGCCCGCAGTACCGCAGGGCTCTCCCCACAGCCGGGCTTCCCAAAATTAATAACAGAGCGGCATCACAGCACACTCCCACCGCTGAGTGCTTCAGAGGTTATTTATTTCTCTTTCTTTCTGTCTTTTTTTAAAATTAGTTTTCAATTCAGAAATATTTAACCCAGGGAATAAAACATTTCATAACTATATATTACCTACTATACTAAATAAAAACCTGTAATACATTTCCTGGACTCATTTTTTATTACTCTTTAAGGCTTTAGTTACTGTGAAGCCAGTCTGGAGTAGGGGAAGAAAACAGGATTTTGCTTCCCCTTCTGTAAAGCTCTCATAACATTTAACTCAAAGCTGCAACAATCACTCAATTAACTTTCTGGAGCTAAAAGCGCCTCCTTCCCCCTGTAGAAAGCCGAGATGCTTTTACTATTTTCTGGTCTCTTATACACCAACCTGTTGATCCAATAAACAAAATAACAACTATTATTGATTAATTATACATTTCAGGCCCAATTTAATTTAAAATGTCTTGCACATGTGGGCTGGAAATACACACTGCTTAGCACTCGATCATCACAAGTTGGTGGATCTTCAGGGATATCAGTGTTTCCAACTGGAGAGGCAACAAGAAGACAACCCCCACAAAAGGTTTAGTAGGTTGTGGTCAGACTTTTTTTTTCTCTAGTTCAGATTTTTCCTGGTAGCATGAGGCGATGTCTGCCAAACACAGTCTCGAGGATGTGGACAAGATACCAGGATGGTAGAAAGGCTCATCAACCCAGAAGATGCTCATGTGCATGTTTCTTTCCAAACTAGAGAAACAGAAACAGAAACAGACTCCATGAGGGTGGCCCGAGGGCCCGACATCCTTTACAACGATCTGTGTTCAACGCCCAGTGCTTTGCAGCTCGACTGGCTTTCACCAGAGACCACCAGAACCTAGCAGCTCCACCCCTGGTGTGTCGGCAGGTTCAGACGTGCAAAAGTTTGGAGATGCCTGCCTACGGCATCACGCAGCGTGATGGTTTGGAGAGACATATCTGTGAAGGATTATGAAGACTTGTTCTGTATTTCTTTAAAAAACAAGTCTTCACTTGTTTTGTTTCCAGCAGAGGCAAGAACAATAAAGAGAAAAATCAGTCAAGAGCATTGTTCCCTTTAATTTTTCATGTGTCTGAGTGAACACACAAACTCCCTGAGCGGTCCCTTGGACCACTGTGAGCAACAGCAGACGTGTGCACTGTGGTCACGCCAGCATCGAATCCATCCAAGTTACATGGTTTATTAAAATCAAATCAAATTACAGCATTTACATTTATGTTAGACTACCTTTAATTAACTACTTTAGCCAATTTACAATGAAAATGTAAAAAAATCTAGTTATTGACCTGTGTAATAGGTTAAGACTATTGGAAGTAAAAATAACTTGAACTTCAAGTTTGAAAACACAACTTTCTTTCTTTCTTTCTTTCTTTTCTTTTCTTTTTATAAAGTTCTGACTTGTATTATGAGTATGAGTCTGTGGTCTGGCAGAGAGTCCTGTAACTCCCTGTCTGCAAAATACAGTATATAATGACCAGTGCTGGGCAACGAATTATATATACTTCTTCAAACTCAGTTTGACAAACAACAAAGTTTTTTGCAGCTATTTGTTTTTAAATGCAGCCAATGCATTTTTAAATAAACATTTCAAACTATTTACAGAACAATCAGCTGTTCTGCATCAAATTTGATGCCACACAAATTATTTGTGCCACTCCAAAAAATTATTTCTGTCCACTATAAGATAAAGGAGAACAAACAGCCTGATACCTGCAGGCCTGCCAACAGCAGATGTATCACTCATGTAACACCTGTAACATTCAGCAGTCGCCTCATTGTTCTGACACACACAACAAAACTATTGACTACACTACACACTAACTACACAAGATTTGCGCTAAACGTCGCAAATCTCTCACATCTCAAAACACCGCTGTCACTCCTAAAACTTCCCCCCGTTTCTTAACAACTAGATGCCATGTTGCCATATCATTTTTTGATTGGTCGACATGGTACATTTTTGGACGAATAGGAAAGGGGCAGCGGGGTTTTTTGTTGTTGCTCACAGGCGGAGAGCGCTTTCAAGCATTTTTTCTTATAAAACGCCGTTTTTACCATATAAACAACGATAGTATTCAGGAAGAAAACCAAACATTGCAGATATTTTTATCATAACTCTGGTTTTATGTGGCCTATCAACACAATTTAAAAACTGGTATAAAGTCCACACTTTTTCCGTCAATTGTTCCGTCTGTCCTGCTCACATCTCCAATGGTTGTACACGTTGTCATTAACGTGGCTTCACTCCACATCAGCCACGCTGCTTTGCTAGCTAAAACACCGGTGTCGGCACATAAGGACGCTGTCGTGTCTGCGTATATACGAATGTGAATGGCTGGACTATGGGATAAGGTGGCATCGTTCTAATCCCATACGGGAGCAGCCAGTCACTTACTGACTAACACTGCAAAACGGAATTGTTAAAGTTTTAATTTTATTTAAATTCAGGTTAGATTTTTTTTTTCTGCGCAACGCAGATTTTCTGTGCGCAGAGACCGTGCCGGCAGTGCGCAGCTTAGAGGGAACATTGGTCAAGAGGTGTCAGGAGAAAGCAATGGCCTGTCTGCTGTGGTAAATGTGTTTTGAAATTGCAGATTTAAAAAATATCTGCAAATATAATCATGCTTGTCCTTAATTCATTTAGAAACCTAAAAAAAACCCCAGTTTTTGCAGCTTTTAACCCTTCATCACCCAAGCATCGTACTGCACCAACGATAATGGACTCAGACTCATTTAAAACGTGCCCAACACCAGGCTGGTGGTCACCTTTAAAAATCAGACCTTTTTGAGACATTATATGGTGTTAAACTTTAAGAACCTGAAGATAATCTGCATTAGGGAGATTTACTGGGGGGGACTAGATCCAGAGACTGGCATTCACCAGAGACCACCAGAACTGGGGGGACTAGCAACTAGCAACAGAGATAAAAGACCAGAAGTGACACAAGCTCAAAATCTTCATCCATTTTTTAATATACAGGATGTAAAAAGGAATGAAATGTAAATGCAGCTTGGTTCATTTTCAGATACACAAACAAGCCCCCTGACTCTGACTCTAACCAGCTGTTCTGAAAATACAGAAAGTTTTAGCAGCGCAAGTCATTTTTCTCGACGTCACAGAGCTTTACTCGTCGAGCCTCCCTCCCTGAAGAGACAGGAAGCGTTCGACAAACTAAACCTCTGAGCGGAAAAAGCTAATGTCATGCTTAAGGCCTCAGTGGTGGTACAAAGTGGGTGAAACAGCCTTTAAAATCCTACAAATTAAGAGTGTCAGTCCAAACTACTCGCATCATGATGGGAAACTACGATGACGTCTAACAGGGAATACTCTGCTGGTAATTTCATTCAGTGATGTTAAATGTGTTGCTCTTTGCTCTTCATCGTTTTCTCTAAATCTTTGTTTTAGCTGCTTCTTCTGCTGACGGTGATCCAGGTTTCGTCCTTCGGTGCGGATACCAGCTTGGATCGGATCTCGGCCACTTGCCCCTTCAGTCGGTGGAGCTTCAGCTGCCGCACCAACGTGCTGAGGACGACCGTAGCCACAGTGTAGGCAAACCTAACGGAGACCAAATAATGACTGATGCAGGACATCCAGGTGTAGAAGAGCTTCAAATAGTTATCAAAACTTCCCAAAGTTGGTCTAATAAAGGCTGCTTTCACTATTAGCAGTCTGAGTGACAGAGTGTGGATAATTTCCTCTTACCTGAGCTCTGGACACGTCTGATTCCCTGAGAATCCGAGCAGACAGAAGCTCTTCCTGGCCGATTCTTCCTCGAATCGATCTGGGTCAAACCTGAGGGAGGATTGAAGTATTCACCAAGCCAGTAAACAGACATATTACAACTTTAACTTGGAAGGTTTTATTTCCAAGGTTTTATTTTATTTAGAATGAACTTCAACCCCCCCCACCACAAATAACAGCTAAGGCTGATGACAAAATGCCATTAGTTTTGAAGTTACTTATGAAATAGAGGACAAATTAAATAGATGTGTTGATGATCAACTAAATTATTTGAGCTCTTCCTGTAAAATTTTGTCCTAATCCATTAACTAAATGTTGACCCCTGGTGAAGCTACAACAAAAGTTTCAAGCTCACCAAATCCATATTTGAGCCTCTGGGAAGTTTGCCTCAGTAATGATGAGGTCCAGACTCTGGGGAGGCCAATCCATGACTGATAGTATTCTACTGTGTGTTTTTCTATCCAGCTATGATTTTACTGCATTGGCAGTGTGTTTGGGATCATTGTTAAGCTGAAAAATGAAAAAAGCGTCTGCCAATCAGACGCTTTCCAGATGGTATTGCATGGTGGATCAAAATCTGACTGCACTTTTCTTTGTTTATAATCGTTACTTTTAACAAGATCAGATATGTTGTCACTGATTTTCAGTCCAGTTCTTGTGTAATTTTCATAAATCAACCTTTTCCCCCTGATTCCCTTCAGTAAGAATGGCTTCTTCACAGCAATCCATCCACTGAGACCATTTCTGATGAGACTTCCATGAACAGTGACAGATAAGCTGAAGGTTAAGATGCATCTCTTAGCATCTTTTTGTCCTGAACTTCTTCAGTTCCCTCAACATTTTTAAGGACATGCTGCACAACACGCTGAGATGTGTCAACCTTTCAGCTAATAGCTCTGGAAAAATGCTATTTTATGTCTGTTAAAGACAAAGATCAGATTTAAAATCTTTTCCAAGTTCCCTGTTATGTGTAGAAACGACACTGGTTCATAGTTGAGTTAGATGCCTTTTTAAGGTTTTAACAATTCACACACACACACACACACACTTCCACTGAAGTTGGTTCATTCCACAGGTACAAGGACTGGACTGAAAATGAGTGTAAAAGCAGACAGTGTCCAAAGAAAGATTTGAAACACTTTAAGATTCAGCAGTCGCCTCATTGTTCTGACACACACAACACAACTATTGACTACACTACACACTAACTACACAAGATTTGCGCTAAA